TTGTTTAAGTACTCAACAAAGTTAGTCCATTTATTTCTCTTGACATCAATACTACTACATACAAATATAATCACAATACATAATTTTAAAAAAATTAATTTTCTGCACTAAATATACATATGTAAGTAAATACGAGTACATCTTAAGAGTGCACAAAAGTATAGATTTTAGCTTCACCATTTATGGCTTATGCATGAATTTGGCTCACTAAATCAGTCAGCACTTGTGCGATTTTGCGTGTAGTTGAAATTATTGAAAAACGTGTGATTAGTAAAACTTAAAACAGTTTCAATGCTGAGCTCGAATATTTTCCGCTAGCTCCCATAATACCAAGATGTCGTTTAACTGATTGGCTTGAAGCGGATTGCCTCCGCATAGTCACGCGCGTCTGAGAAGTTACGCTCTGGTTTGATGCGTATATCATTGGGATCGAGCTGAAATTCACCATTCCATTGTGTGGGCAGCACTGTGGGTTCCCTATTATATTGAAAGTATTCAGAGTCATCGGAGTGATTGCGTTCGGGTTGAATACGTGTCTCTCCACTCTTTGCAAATGTACCATCCCAACTGACCGGCAGGATAATCGGCTCATGGTTGCAGCCATAGAAATTCGATGTGTCGGTAACATTCTGATTGTGACGTCGTACTTTGGAAACATTGTTCGCAGCACCGTTTCCGTACACAAATTTGCCATTCCAACCTTCACATTTGATGGGTATATATTCGCTCTTCTTCGTCAAAGGCATTTTTATGTTTGTATGATTTGGTTATATATGTATGTATATTTATGAATATAGAGGTTTACAATTTAAATTTATGTATCCTTTTTTTTAAATCTTCTAATTGGAGATAGACCTGTTGTTATTTTATCGTTATTATATTTCTTTAAGCGCGCACGTTTTACGAGCTATGTCTACTGCTTGCTTTCTAAGAGCTTACTGTGGAAAACACGCAGTTTACCTATTTTAAAATACGAAATCGCTGTGAAAGTTGTTCGACCAGCATTTAATTGTTTTTTATTAAAATATATTATGGCACTCCGCAAATTGATATTGCCTTGCCTTGGCTGTCTCTAGTTGCCTTCGCCCACACCAAGCCGTGCTCTGTTTTTGCTTCGTTCGTAATTCGTTTGTTTCCAACATCCCACCAAGTTGTCGACCGTTTCGCCATATAAGTTGAAAATCTCGGCACCACGGTACAGCGCGCGGTCGTAAACGCAGGGGCGGTTGTTTTGTATAAAATTGTTGTTTTTGTCAATTGGCGCACGAGCTAAGCAGCGTAATTATGACGTGTGATTCCTCATGGAACATAACTTCCAACGATATACATACATGCATACATACATACGTACATCTCAAATTATGACAAGCCTGACTCATGGCTAAAAGCGCTTAGCTAACAACTTCTCGATTTTTGTCTATTTTTAGTTATGTTGTCACGTTTTTCGACACCTACCTAAGCGCAGTTTATTTATGTACATTAACTTGTTTGCATATTTTGGTTGTTACCCTGCAGGAAACTTTATTAATTTAAAAGTAATTTATAAACTACTTTATTTTCAATGATAACTAATTGAAATTCTCACTATTTTACCTGCAACGAACTCATTTATTTAACATGGCGATGTCCTAGGAAGAAGTCAATTACCTTTTCCTGCATGTATTTTCAACTAATTTAAAATGCATTTGGATTAAACAAACTTTAAGGTAAGTCGTTTTAATTCGCTTTCGTTCTGCACTTCACAGATGCTTTTTCATAATTAAGAAAACCCGAAACTAAATGATTCGCCTAATGAGATTTGAACATGGCACTCATGGCCATGGGCGTAGCCAGGTAGGGGCAGGGCGGTGCTCGAGCGCCCCCCTCCCCTAACTTTCAAATTTCCCTTACGATAGTACCCTGAAATGCCAGTTTAATAGGGTCGAGCATAAAAAGTATCGAAATTCGAAACATTTACTCATTGCATTTGTTTTAAAGCAGTCCATCAATTAGTTGATTTAAAAAAAATCACTTGCTCCGTCAGGGCAACTCCTCAGATCGCCTCAACGTCAGCGCGCCTGCGCGTCTGCTGCGCGTTGCAAANGCTCCGCCAGAATTGCGAAAGATCTCTACGACCGATTTGCATCGACAGCGTTGCCAGTATGAAATCGGAAAATTCAGTAAGCGCAACCACAAATGCACGAAATTTTCTTGTCCAGTTGCATTTGTTCGACTGCTTATCCATATTTGAAAGAAGATATTGCATGAGTTAATGCAAATAAAGGCCGTTTATGCAGATAAGCCAGCCCGTTTTTCACCCGTATTTGACGCACATTGCCTCCGATGGAATTCTGGATAGCGCCTCACAGATGCATACCATCGCACTTCTTTGCATATTTTCAAGTGCTTCAATTGTAGATTTCTTGCCGAGACATGGCCACCACTACCAGTATTCCGATGCCCATACCCGTTAGAGCTGATGTTATTGCAGCGCTGTTTCGGTGTACCTTCCTTTCATATAGGCATGCTGCGATACCATAAGTTTGTTTGCAACTGATTTCCTGAAGACAAATTCAGTCAGTCGCTCCATTATCTTGAGCTGGAAGGTTGATAGGATAACAGGACTAAAATCCTCTGGGTTTGTGTGGAATGTTCTTCCTGCCTTGGGAATGAAAATAACCCTCGACCTTTGCCAAGTCTCTGGAATGTAGTTGAGAGTGAGGACTCTGTTGAAAAGAGCATACAGCCAGTCTGAGCTTATCTCCAGAGATTGCTGTATCTGAATCGGCGAAACACTGTCTGGACCCGCAGATTTGTAAGGTCTGAAGGATCCTATTGGTGCCCGGAAAGTACGTACTCAGAAGGTCCAGGGATTCCTCAGACAAGCGTATATTGAAAATCAAGCGTGCAACTCTCCCCCGCACATTTATTTGAAGGCAGAAAAGGCACCACTTTTGCCGGAGCAGAGCGCAACCTGCTGAGAAAAGAACACGACGCCCTTTTACAACTGCGAAAAGAAAATGAAAAATTTTCAGCGCTAACACAAGGCAGAATAAGTGCAGCCTTTTTCGAGAAAAGAAA